CCCCTCCGGCAACTGCTGAGCCGCCCTTGGGGGGGAGTGCATGTGCAATTTTTCCTGGTGCCTAATCAGAATTTCCCTTGCTGCAAGTTATGCCTGTTGCCTCTTGTCCTTTTGCTGCGTCCTACAAAGAAGAACGTGGCTCTAAAACCTCCAGTCCCCCTCTAGGTACGTCTCAGACAGCTGTTAAATCCCTCCTTAAGTGTCTTTTCTCCTAGCTGAACAAACCCAGCTTCCTCTGCCGCTGCTGTGCTCCAGGCTCCTCACCGCCTTAAGTGGCCGTATGCTGGATTTGGTCCAGTTTTTTGGTGTCTTTTTTTACAGCAGTCCAGGTGTGGGTGTCTTTTAATTAGCTATTTCATTTGTCTTCTCTAAATTTGTTCCCATGCTAGCTGTGGCTTGGCTCCACAAAGGATTTACAAGATGAGGTTCTACCATCTGCACTGTACTGAAAGCCAAACAACAGCGTCAGAGAAGTCTCTTTGCTGAAATCTCTTGACCCATTGCTTATATTAAGAAAGTATTTTAGCGGCTCAGTTATAGTCTGCTGTTGCATGCTGCAGCCATTCAGGAGAGCAACCTCAAGGATACCAACAAATTGCTTCTCCACTGTGGTATTTCCCTCCCTTACCAGTAGGAGCTCCTCGTTGGTAGTTTTTAATTAGGTGGCCCAGCTCAAAGCCACCGAGGCAGCTGTCTGCATCCAGTCCTTTCCTGAGCTGAAAGCAACCAGAAGTATAAATTCATTCTGTAAATTATGTGATCTGGGGATTTTTATCTGCACAAATACTGACACGTGGGTTGCGCTGCACCTCATGGTTTGTCCTACTGGAAGATACTGAATTACGTGGGTTTAGTGCTAATGCAACCCTTTCTACTCTGATCTGGACTCTCTGCTATCTGTTCTTTCCCTGTTCCCCTGTGTCCCACCAGTGTTCTTTTCCTCATACGGATTTTCTGCTTCAGCCAGTTCATAAGGTCTAGGGATGCCTAGGTTTTATTTTTGTCTGCCGTGGCTTCGTATCAACCCTATGTAATCTAACATTATTTTCATATCAGGAATTCTCTTTTGGGACTTCTGCCCAGAAGTTTCTGTAATTTTTGTCCTACCACTAAACAGCATTTCCTTCCTGTGTCAGTGCTAGTTTGGCTCAGATTTAGGTGCGGTCTTGTAGGTGCAACTTCTGCAACTTCGTATAGAAGTTGTTCCCTTGAGCCACAGGTCTCTGTGCCTTTAAAGTCTCCTTTTTTTTAGCATCAGTTTTAAGTCAGTACAGCTGGATCCCTGCAGCTCACCACATCCCAGCTCATCATGTGTGCGAAACTAGAAGTATTTCAAAGGAAGCTGTTGTAGGTGCCTGGGCTGCCTTTCTAGCAATGAAGTTTAGCTTCCCACTCGTCTCTCCTGTACTTCCCTTTGTTGTTAGTTTCTGTCTTGGCCACGAGTTTTGTACTGGTCATTGCTAGCAGCTTTTTGCAGGATTTCCCAGTCTGGTGGTGTTTAGGGAAGTCTGCAGCTGCTGATACTTGAAATGGGCAAGTCTCTTGCTGTTCCTGCTGCCCACATCACCACACAGAGTAGCTGAGATGGCCCTGGGGAAGAGTCAGGCTCCTTTTGCCAGCTGGATTGCCCTCTTTGGCCACTGCCTTGTTCCCATTCTTTCATGGGACCTGCAGACCTTGAAACCAGTGCTATGGAAAAGGGCAGTCATGGGCCGTAGCTGGGAATGGTTAGTTTTCCTTCCCTGTATCCAGTTGTCCAGGTTGACAGCTTTGGCCTCAGCATGCTGTGCTGGGATCTTGAAGGGACTCAGCTGAGCTCTCATGGGGCACACTGCAGGTGGCTGCTGTTTGCTCGGCGCTCTGCCTGCTTATCTGGGCAGCTTCAACACTACCTCCTCCCACCCCATCCCCTTCGAGCTACACAATGCTTGTGTCAGCCGCATCCCCCAGCAGGCTGTTTTCAGGAAGGCAGTGCTGTGCTTAGAGTACTAGCCTGGACCTCCAAGTCTGCGCCTCCGGGTTGCACAGATTCCCCCCCATAGCCGTGCAGAGCGTGCAGGATATTGATCTGCCCAGAGGATCCATCAGCGAGCTGGAGTATGGAGGTTTCAGCTGGGTGTCTGAGGGCAGCCCAGCAGAGCCAAACTGGGCAGCGGGGCAGTCATAGCCTGTAGTAGGGTGCTTCATTGCCCAGTCTATGCTAGCATGTGCCGCCTGCTTCAGCCTTGCAGGTGTGTGGGTGACCCCAGGCAGCCATGGTCCCCTTGGCACTGCAGCCAGGGCTTGGGGGTGGGGAGCACTCATGTTTCTCACTGGCCTTTTGAGGAAGAAGGGGAAGAGAGCACATACAGAACTGAGTTTTGTGAGCACAGCCGGGACCCAAGATGCACTCGTGGATTTGACCCTGGTGTGAAAAAAGACGGGGACCCAAGAATAACAGGGGGGATGGGGAGGAAAGACACAAAAGGAGAAGCAGAAGTGTGTGCAAAGCAGCTTGGGGCTGGGGAGTTGATGGCTCAGAGCATTTCCTGTTCCCGGAGCCGCGCGTGCCCAGCTGCGCACGGGCTTGCGCCTGCCTGTGCCCAACAGCTCTCTGCAGAGGGCCAGAGACCAGGGCACGTATCCAGAGACGGGTGGATGGAGAGGGTCTGAATGGACTGACAGTAGACGCCAGGAGAGATACATGGCCAGCTCCCAAGAGGCACAGAAACAGCTTGGCGTTGGGTGCTCCAGCACAGACCTGCGACTTCCCTTTTCTCGCCAGCGCAAACTGATTTTTCCTCTGTGTTTTTTGAGTTGCTTTGGTGGTAGCCACTTGGTCCCCTCTTCTTTCGCCCTCCACGATGGTGAGGTAAGAGGGGCTGAGAAGTGTGTGTGTGTAGGGAGGGGGGCCGGGAAAGTAGGACAGATTGGAGTGGGGGCATCATCCTGGAAGCTGTATCTCAATGGAAACCTTTCATAGGCTGGGGGAGGTGTCAGGTAGGAGGGGATGCTGCTGCTGGTTATCACCTGCACAGGCATCTCTAGGGATGCTGACTGGGGACCATTCTTCATTGTACAAGTCTCCACAACAGTGCCTGGCCTTTTTCATTCACCTGGTCCTGTTTTTTCTCTCCTGTGCTAGGTGGTTTCACCGTGACCTGAGTGGGCTGGAAGCTGAAGCCTTACTGAAGGGACGAGGTGTACATGGGAGCTTCCTGGCCAGACCCAGTCGGAAGAACCAGGGGGATTTTTCTCTTTCAGTTCGGTAAGTAACTTGAACCCCAACTTCTGTCTTTCCAGGGTTACATATGCAGAATGCTTAGGTCCTCACATGTCTTGTAGCATCTTTTTCATCCTGTCCTTATTCCTTTGAGTTCTTTCCAAGCTGTAAAAGGACCTGAGCTTCCCCACATCTTTTAGACCCTCCCTTGAGTTGCCCCAGGAGCTTCTCTTTCCAGTCACCTCCTTTCACCAGGATGGTTTGCTCTGGTTCCATGGCAGGAGGTAATACAGAACATTTTCTGCCTCTTTTCCAACCGCCTCACTGCGCTGCTCTGCATATAATCCCACAGAGTTGGTGACCAGGTAACCCACATCCGCATCCAGAATACTGGAGATTTCTATGACCTGTATGGAGGGGAGAAGTTTGCCACCTTGTCAGAACTGGTGGAGTACTACACGCAGCAACAGGGCTCACTGCAGGACAAAGATGGAACCATCATTGACTTGCGATACCCGCTCAACTGTTCCGACCCCACTACAGAGAGGTATGGAGAAAGCAAAGCAGCTGGCATATCTGCAATGACACCTCCTCTGTGTTGTGTGGTCTTCTTTCTGCCTTGCCTGCATCCCCAGGGCAAACCCTGCAAAAAGCATCTCCTGCCTCCCATACGCTCCTATGCTGCTTCCATGGAGGCAGCATCCCCGGGAGTAGCTGGGCATACCTTGACCCATCATGGCAGACCTATTAGGGCTCTGGTTTTACTTCTGGGTTCCTGTTGCCTTTGCTATTTATATTACTGATCCTAAAAGGACAGGTTGTGGTGTTTGTTATGGGTCTGCAGTGGTCTGTAGAGTGACATGCTATGTGGGAGCCCTCAGCCTTGCCCCAAACTTCCTTGCCTATTCCAGGCCTAGGTGACTCGTGTAGCTGAGAGCAGAACCACACTCCCCTGCTATTCCTAGCCTGCTTTGTCTCCTTCCTGTCCCCGCTTTGCATATGTCTCTGACACTAAGTTCCTAAATCAAATCAGGTGGTTTTGCCCTTGTGCTGTGCCTTCAGGCTCCTCGACGCAGCTTGGGGAGCAGTCGTGCTGTGCTCTGGGGCGGACAGGTCCTCCTTGTATGCTGGAGACAGGGAGCAAAGGTGCCCCAGGTGAAGCGCCCGGGTGCACCCCTGCTTATCCTGGGGTCTGGCGGCAGGGGGGCCAGTGTCCGGGTGCCGGCTGTCCTCTCGTCCTCTCCACTCAAGGCCGTTGGGTTGTGGCCCTGCAGTTTCCTCCCTTCCTCCCTGCGGTTGGAAACTTCTCCCCCCCCCAGGCTCTTACGAAAGCTCCTCTCACTCTCTCCCCAAGTGATTTTCCATCACGTGGCTTCGAAGAGCTGGGCTCTACTGGGGGAAGGGAGGGGGGGACGGGGACCCATTAACCCCTTCCTACCTGTGGAGGGGAGGCCCAGAGACCCCTTTGATGAGCAGAAGGGGTCAACCGGTTCCCCAGGGGTGCGTCTGAGCATGGGCATGTGGTGGCCGAACCCTCTGTGGGAGGAGGATTGGGAGTTAATGAGCACTGTGCAGTGGAAGCCACCAGCTATTTCTTGCAGTGCGCGAGGTGAGGATCGGCAGAAGCCACTTGCCAAGGCACAACAACTGCCTGCTGCCTCTTGCTGTCAAAATGGTTCCTGGATGTTGCGTAGAGGAATGCATTGATCTGGCCAGATACAGGGGTGAATGAATGCTTCTGTGGCTGGGGCATGGCCTCCCAAGCTCCTTTGCAATTCTTGGGCACAGAGAGCCCTAACAGCGTGATGTTCGCCATAGATGCCAGTACCACCCCTGGCCTCCACTCTTAGCTGCTCCGTGTGTGGCAAGCCTGCTCCCGCAGCTCTAGCCGCACCGGCTCGTCTATGAAGGGTCGGCCTGGCCTTGATGGCAGTGGGCGCAGTGACGTATGGAGTGTGTCTGGTGCGTGTTGCGGTACCTGCAATGAGCCGGAGCAGGGAGGAGCGTCGCAAGTCAGTCTGATGCAACAGCTACCTGCTTTTGAAATGGTTTTTCGCCAGGGGAGAGGGCCAAAATGGCTGCTGAGGCAGCTCTGTGGAAGCAGGACAGAGCTGCAGTGAACATGGCCTTTGGCTGGCACCACGGCCGTGCTGCAAAGGCCCCTGAATGCAGAGCCCAGCACGCAGCTCCAGCTGGAGATGGGGATGTCCCAGGACCCGAGGGGCCTGTTTGAGCCAGGCCCATCCCTGCTGGAGGAGAAGGGCCAAAATCCTCTCCCTGACACTGAGCTGGGAAGGAGGGAAGGGTCTGGAGCAGGAGCACCAAGACTGTGCTGGCCCCCGGGTTGAGCTGTGTTCAAACCCAGTAGAGGCTCCACCAGCAAATGGGTACCGGGAGGAGTGGGATGATTCAGAGCATTTCCCAGTGCCCAGAGCACCTCACAGCTCTCAACTTTCTATCATTTGGATCTCTAGCCGCAGCTTCCAAGTGGGTTTTCTGAAAGCAGGACAGAGCTGCAGTGAACATGGCCTTCCGCATCTCTACTTGGCAGCTCAGCAGTGCCCCCCAGGACCTTCTAGTGTGGTCCAAAGGGACTGTGGAGCTTGGGACAGGCATGAGGATCTGCACAGAGACAACCTGAGTCACATTTGGGCTTTCTGCAGGGCCATACAGCCCTGCACTAGGAAGAGATGCTAGGGTTGTCCCATCTCCCAGCCTGCTTCTGGTGCCCATCACTTGCACCCGCACCGCACAGTGCAGTGAGATCCCACCAGGCAGGCACACATCCACCCCCTGAGACCTCTGTAGGTGGGAAGGGGCTTGGCAGCAGCAGTATCATTTGTACCAGCTGTGCCATTTGCGCCATACTTGTGTCCCTCTGTGCCCTGGGTCCAGGCCTGCAGCAAGGCAGAGAACATCTCGGTCAAATGGGGATGCTGAGAGGAGAGAAGGGGATGCTGACTGGGTGTTTTCATTGAGGACAGGAATGCGCACATGGATCAGCAACAGTGATAGATACCAGGAGCAGAATATGGGCCCCAGGTGGCTCCTGCTGCTCACTCCTATGGCCAGGCTGATTGCTGCAGGGTGATGTGCCCAGAGAATAGGAATTATCCTTTGATTGAAGAGGTGACTGAGTTTCAGAAAGAGGGGGTTTCTGGGATGGTTCTTTAATGGATCTGATCTCAACACAGCCATCTGGGTGCTGCTAAATCTGATGGGAGAATTTCTGACTCACTAAGGGTTTACATTTCTTTCCCTGGTGTTTGAGTTTCTGAAGCACCCTGCAGCAATAAGGCTAGGATCCCAGTAATGCTGGCAGCTGCTGAAACCCATGGACTACCCTCTCCCAGCTGGTCTTCAAGCCAGCAACCATTGCTTACCTGTGCTTGTGTGTATGACACAACTGGATCACACTTGGTGGTTTTCTACTGTGTCCTCTGGTACCAGCATTCTGCTCCCTGGGTCCCTTCTACCTCCACCTCATCCCTTGCCCTTTCCTTTTCTTTTCAGCTCTCTACTTCTTTCTGTCTCATCTGCCTTTCCAAAGATCATGCTCCTGCCTTGGATGCCTTCCTCATTCCAAAAAAAATCTTTCCCTCCCCTTGGTCTCCCCCTTCCTTTCTTCCTCCCTCACCCTTCCCCGGTGCTGCAGTCCTTCACTCATCAGCTCAAGGGCATCCACTTACCTGCATCTCCACCTCTCTTCTGATCCTCTCTTGTTTTTTCCTAGGTGGTACCATGGGCATCTGTCAGGCTCTGCAGCTGAGTCACTTCTCCAGGCCAAAGCCACCCCTTGGACCTTCTTGGTGCGGGAGAGCCTCAGCAAACCTGGGGATTTTGTCTTGTCCGTGCTCACTGACCAGCTTAAGCCTGGGTCTGATACTCCATCAGCTGGGGCAACCAGCGCCTCTGGGGCCCGGCTCAAAGTCACGCACATCAAGATCATGTGTGAGGTGAGCAGCTGGGAGACCAAAAGGAAAGGGAGTGGAAGAGGTCTCAGCCGATCTCCGCTGGTCGTGTCCTCAACAGCATGGGCCCTCTCAGTTTGATTACCACCAGCAGCGTTTCTGAAATTGTATCAAAGTGCTGTGACCTGGCAGGTTCCTTATGTCCTTGCCCCAGCCTGGGTGACCGTGGGTAGCGCTGAGTGCTCGGACATGGGAAGAAGCAGGGCTCACAGTGTGACAGAGAACTCCAGTTATAGGGAGTTTGTGGTGAAAGAGAGAGGAGGATTCACAATCTAATTATTAGATCATCAAAAGAGTTAATAGCTCTTGGAGGAGGAGCCTCTGCCAGGCTTCCACACTTAGTCTGAAGGATGTTACCAACCTGGCTGTCACAAGTTCTCCTGTTTCTTCCATGTGGGATGATGCAGAAGGTGGAGGGAGGTTTCAAGGACAGAAAGCAACTGACCTTGAATGAGAGCTGAGGGCGATATACCTTCCCTGGGCTTCCATCCATGGAGAACAGGAGTCAGTTCACCATGCTGTGAAATTAGTGTTCTCAGGGAAAACTGCCATTTGACCTCCCTGCCAGAGGAAATGCTTTTCTGCATGGCACAGGGTCTGTGTGTCTATGGCATAGACACTGGCACAGTGGGGCTTTGCACCCCAGCGTTACCTTTCCCCTGAGCATTATCAGCTTTGTCTATCGGAATGTTACAAGTGGGACATTACACGTTCTTCCTCCACTTAGAATGGACGCTACACAGTTGGAGGTGCTGAAACGTTTGACAGCTTGGCAGATCTGGTGGAGCACTTCAAGAAGACTGGAATTGAGGAGGTGTCTGGCTCCTTTGTGTACCTGAAGCAGGTAAATCCCGCTTCCTTTGATTCTTAGGGATCCTTTGGAGGGACCCACTTGCTGTTTGTTTCTGCTTTGTGTCCCTCTCCTCCTTTTCGCCACAGCACACAAAGGAGACTTTGCTCTCCAGCAGCATCTCTCTCTCTCTCTCATGCCAACCCACTGTGTTTTCCCATCCCCAGCCCTACTATGCTACAAGAGTGAATGCTGCTGACATTGAGAATAGAGTGCAGGAACTGAACAAGAAGAGTCTAACTGATGAGACATCCAAGGCTGGATTCTGGGAGGAATTTGATGTAAGAAACTGCTGGGGGACATTATTCTGGCTTTTGGGGAAGTCCCTGTGCACCACCTCATTCTCCATCCCTGATTTCTTCCTGGACAGAAACTTCTCAGGTGTCTTGTAAATTCTTGTCAATTTATCTCTGAAAGAAGTCTCTGTTTGGAACCTGTTCCTCTGGGGAGAGAGTGTCATCTTTAAGTGAACCCAGTGAGGTAGAAATGTGCTTTTTCATGGTTGGGAGAACGAGTGACCAAGACAGTAAGGGCATGAACCTTGGGCTTTTCAAGTCTAGGTTTGCTTTTCACTTCTCTGCTCTCCCACAAGCATGCTCGTGTGTCCCCAGAGTCCCCACTGTTCCTCTGAGCGCCCATCTCCCCTGCCATACGTTGTGCCCTTGTCATGGCTATTCTCTCTTCTCCTCTCAGAGCCTGCAAAAACAGGAAGCCAAGCACCTGTTCGACCGTCAAGAGGGTCAGAGACCTGAAAACAAGAGCAAGAACCGGTATAAGAACATCTTGCCCTGTGAGTCTTGTTTGTCCCCTATAAAAATAATAAAAAAAAAACCCAAACAAAAAAACCCCCAACCAAATAGGCAATGAAGAGCTGTCCAAGTCATCCCTGGCCCTGCCTCAGCCCACTCTATCCTCCAGAGCAGGTTACAAGGTGTGTGGCATTGAGGATTTAAGAGCTGATGAGAGAGGTCACGGCCTTTTCATGTCCTTGAAGGAAGGAGGGAGGGTTGCATCAGACTCGTTAGCTTCTGATGGCCCATCATAGGGGTAGAGAGATGGGAGGACGGGGTGAGATTGGTCTGACCCCTGAGAAGGAGAGGAGAAAGCATGGGGCATGCTGCATGCAGTGGGTAGCGTGAATGAGGTGGTGTGCGGCAGCGAAGGAGCTTCTTGTGGCTGGGCACAGAGTATCTCATTGTTTTGTTTATTCTTCTGATGCATTCCCAGTTGATCACTCCAGAGTCATCCTCCAAGGAAGGGACCCAAATATCCCTGGATCTGACTATATCAATGCCAACTATGTCAAGGTGAGACTCTTGAAAGATGGCTGTATGCCCCAAATGGGGGAGGGCCTGCCAGCTCCTGCAGCATTCCTGATCTTCCCCTGTCCTTACTCAGAACAACCTGATCAGCCCAGATGAGCGCACCAAGACCTACATCGCTAGCCAGGGCTGCCTGGATGCCACAGTCAATGACTTCTGGCAAATGGTGTGGCAGGAGAACACGCGCATCATTGTGATGACGACACGGGAGGTAGAAAAAGGGCGGGTAAGTAGCAGCTTGTCAGTGTCTCGGAGCCGCCCTCTTGTGCCCTTCAGCCACTGCTCTGCTCTTTCTCTTTCCTGCCTTCTGCCCATCCTCACCCTGCCCTCTCTGCCCACACAGAACAAGTGTGTGCCTTACTGGCCAGAGGTGGGCAGCACGAAGGAATACGGTCCCTACCTCGTGGAGAACGCTGGGGAGCACGAAGCTTTGGAGTACAAACTCCGGCACCTCTGTGTGTGTCCAATGGATAACGTGAGTGTGCCTGGCTGAGGGTCTGATGGTCACTGTGTGTCTAAAGCTGGGAACTGCTGGGTGCTGTGGTGATGCCGCTGTGGTATCATTCTTGGGATTGCTGTTCCCACCTGGTTTGGGCTGGAATCACACTGCTGGATTCACCAAGAAGTGCACAGTGGCTCTGGCTTCAGATCCACCTCTCCCTGGGACAGAGGCCAGGGATAGGACTGTGTTGCAGTTTTACCAGTAGGGTGTTTTGTTATTACCAGGGTAAGGCTGTGCGCGAGATCTGGCACTACCAGTACCTGAGCTGGCCTGACCACGGCGTACCCAGCGAGCCAGGAGGAGTGCTCAGCTTCCTCGACCAAATAAACCAGAAGCAGGAAAGCATCCCAGATGCAGGGCCTATTCTGGTGCATTGCAGGTTAGTACAGAGGCTGGGGTTTGAAGCATGGGTGAGGTGTAGAAAGTCTGTCCTGCTGCACCAGCTCTTCCCCGGGACTTGCAAGTGAAGCTTATGCCAGCCCCAGTATTTGCTTTTTCCTCTTTGATGCCCCCAAACCAAACTCTGCTGCCTGTTGAATCGACTCTTCTGTGGTGTTGCTGAGCAGCTGCTACAAGTGCCGTATCCTTCCGTCGAAGCAGCTGCACTTTGTTTCAGGAGCTGTATTGCTCTGACCTCTGCTTGTCCTCTCCTTGCAGTGCTGGGATTGGCCGTACTGGGACTATCATCGTCATTGATATGATAGTGGAAACAATCTCCACCAAGGGTAAGAGGACCCCAAAGTATCTTGAAGTAAATTGGCCTACTCAGTAGGGCTGTGCCCTTAAGTCCAGCTGCAAAGGGATGAAAACTATCAGGTATCAGTGGGAGAGAGCCTGCCACAGCCCTGAGAAGGTTGTGCTGTCCTTGCTATGTGACAGCTGCTGGATCTCTGCGCTGTGTCCACTTACTGTGGCTTCAGCCTTCCCTGAGCTTGGGCTCTTCCTCCAGGGCCAGACTTGGAAGATACTGAGCAGGAAGGAGGGGTAGGAGGTCCATACAGGAGTAAAGAATGTGGAGGGAGGTGGAAGCTTCTTGACTGACCTCCACTGTGACTGCTTTTGGTGGAGAATTGGGAGAGGGGAGGGCTAGTGAAAAGGTCCATAAGCTTTTCTGGTTCTCCTTGCTAGGGCTGGACTGTGACATTGACATCCAGAAGACCATCCAGATGGTGAGGGCCCAACGCTCAGGGATGGTGCAGACGGAGGCCCAGTACAAGTTCATCTACATGGCCATCTGCCAGTTCATAGAGACAACCAAGAAAAAGCTGGAAGTTATCCAGGTGAGAAAGGGGACTCTACTTCCCTGTCCTGAGTCTAGGCCCTGCATGGTGCTGGCTCTGAGCCCAAATGCTGTGTTTCCCAAGCTTTAAGCTGGCACTGCCACCTACATAGACTGTGACAGTGCACCAAGATTTGAATTCCTGTTTCCTCTCTTTAAAATTCAGGGGACAACATTGGCAGCTCAAATACTAACCCCTTCTGTACTGCTAAACAGCAGTAAGTTTTAATGCAGTTATTTCAACTACGTTCTGTGTAATGTCTCCACCAAGTGCTGGTTTGTTACAAGCTGAATCTAAGACAGGCAAAGACTTTGCCCCCTCCCTTCCTCTTTGTCTTTCCTATCCTGGTCCTGCCGTTGCTTCCCAAGGCCTTGTGGAAAGGATTTTCTCCTACTTGCTGAGAAGTGGCATCTTTTATCTCTCCTTGTAGCCCCTAGCAGCATCCACTAGATGCTGCTATCTGTTTAATATTCTTTAGCTGACATGTGGCACTCTCAGGCATTCCAGTGCCGCCAGACATTTCTTGCTCCACTGTTCACCCCTGTACAAGGATGCATTTGCATCCCTGGTGCTCACCTCTGCAACAGGAGCGGGCAGAGTGCACTGAGCCTGAGGACTTCAGCAAACCACCAACCTCCACTGAGGCCCTAGCATGAAGCATGGTCAAACAGCCAGAACTGTTCCATGATGCCTCACACCCTTCTCCCAGACCACACTCTTCCCAGCTCGGGTTTTCTCTCCTGTAGTCTCAGAAGGGCAAGCTGAACGAGTCTGAGTATGGGAACATCGCCTACCCCCCTGCAGTGAGGAATGTGCACGTCAAGGCTTCACGAAAATCCTCCAAGTAAGAGCTCACCTAAACCAGAGGCCCACCTATGCCTGCCTCTGGCAATAGTCTCCCTGCTGGCTTGGCTGGCTTTTTCCTCTTGCTCACTTTTCCCCTTGTTTTTCCCTGGTCTTGCAGGCAGAAAGAGGAGTCAACGGTTTATGAGAACTTAGGGAAAAAGGAGGAGAAGGTGCGGAAACAACGCTCGTCAGAGAAGAAGCTGAAAGGCTCACTAAAGAAAAAATAAGCATACGTTGCAGGTAGCCCCATGGGTGTGTGGAACCCGGGGCGCAGGACTGGAGCTCATGTCCAGGCTGGCCTGTCTCGCATGCCTTGGTCTTGGACTGGAACTAGGCCTTCCCCTTCTCTTCCATGCCACTTCTCATGCCCTGAACCAGACTGCTTTCCAGCTCAGCTGACCGACTTCACTGTTCCTTGCCTGTGCTGCCCCTTCATCATTCATTAACAGGGAAAAATCACATACCTTCTTTCCCTTGCTCTCTGAGCACTGGGGCCCAAACTCACCTCTGCTGTGTCATCTTCAGAGGACTTGAGGAAGAGCTAAGGAAGGTTTTTACAGGAGCGACATCTCTGCCCACTGCTCTGGGTCAGAGTTTAGCCTGGTAGTGTTCCCTGAAGCCTCGTCTTTTAAAGTCTGGCGTTCTTGGCCCATTTCAGCTCAGCCCCCCTGAAATTCAACAGGAAACTTCCTCTTGCCTTAATACCAATCCTCTGCCCTGTCATCCCTTTTCTACTTGATCCTTTGATTGGATGCTGTAAATATACCAGAATTTGACGTGATGCCTGTGTTTTCTCCTGTGTTTGTAAATAAATGTGTATTTGTCTGAACACTGAGTCCCAAAGGTTTTTTCTATAATTTCTCTTTGAGTATAGCTGTACTCCTGGCTTTGCTTGCAGCCCCACAAAGACTTAGAAGAATGGCTCTAGCTTAGTTTTCATCACTTCCTGCAGCCTTCAGACTCCTGAACAGAAGCTGTGACCAATTACAGTGGCTCCTTGCTGTGAGCCTTGAGTGTTGGTAACTGTCAGGTAAATCTGAGTGCAGAAAGTTAGCTGTGAGAAACTCAGACGCAGGCTTTTGCACTTAAATTTTGGTATTTGGAAGAGTCATCCTTAATGCCCCCAAATCATTATTCATTTTATCATCTGTCTCATCTATCTCTGGTGGTATCCAGCCTCAGCTGGAGGGTAAAAGTCATAAGGGCTGCTTCAGCAAACAGTGTAGTGCCTGGCTGCTCCTTCCTAGGTACCACATGGTAGAAATGAAACTTCATCTGTATGGAGAGGGTAGACCAGAACACGGCCACGTGGTGGCTTCACAGATACTAGTAGGTCACCTGCAAGGAGGGGCTAAGGGGGCTGGATTGTTCAGTCTGGTAAAGAGGTGGTGGAGTGTTAAGCCACTTTCATCTACAGCTACGCAGAGGGGGAGGTAAGAAAATGATGGTAGTGGCAGATAATAAAACCAGAGGCAATGGTCTAAAATTGCAGTTTGGGAGGTTCAGGTTGAACACTAAGACTGCTTTTATCTGGCAGCATTCAAACAGATACTCAGAGGGGGAACTCTGTCCTTGCAGGTTTTCAATACTTTTGAATGGACAAAGCCACAGCTGGTCTGACCTAGTGCTGGTAACACTGTCATTTGCAGCAGCAGCCTGGACTAAAGACCTCCAGAGCTCCTTTCCCACCACTATTTATATCATTCTGAGAATGCCGGAGAGCATTCCTCAGTACTGGAGCCCATTCTTGGTGGTGTTAGAATGAGCCTCAGCATGGTTTTTAAAGTCTGGCCCGTTAAAACTAGGGCCCAGCCTGCGAACTGTACCCACGAACCATTTGGGAGAATGCTGAGAGACTTTGGAACAAGCTACAGCTAAAGAGTGCAGACCTGACCCTTTCTGTGGCAGCTGGCCTAGATCGCAAATGTGCTGGGGAATCCTTAATTTACAGGTACAGGCACTGCTTAGGCATTTGCTACTCAAAGAAAAAGATGACTCAGATGTCCCAGAGTAGGACCTGGTTAGAGCTGACAGCAGGAAGAGCTCAGTCCCACTTAGGGAGAAGTCTGAGCTAGGTCCCACAGTGACCTAGGACACAGGCCAAGAATGCTTTGAACTGTGGGACAGGGAATTTTGTCTCATCTGAGCCATGTGTCGGCCCTGTGTGGGAAGGTAAGGGCATTGAGGGACCTGCATAATCAACCCCTACCAGCTGCCTGACACAGGACCATACCGAGCACTTTAAAAGTCCAGCTGTAATCCCCTGCTTTGGCATGAGGACCCTAGCACTGGGCTCCCTCCTCTCAGTTTAGAGCACAAATCCAGATGGGGAAGGGGCAGAAAAGAGAAGGAATGCGGCGTGCCTTGAACTCTGTTCCAGGTAGCCTGTAATACAGTGGCAATGGCCAATCTGCCTGCAGGGTGACGTGCCTGCCTGGGAGATGGCAAGGTGAAGCTGTACAAACCAGCTGGAAGCAGGCGTGGCGTCCTTGCAGGCCTGCCATCTGCCAGAGGACCAGAGGAGGTGCCTTTGCAGGAAGGAGCAGGAACCCCATCAGCCAGGCAGCAGCAGGATGACGGGCGGGATAATTTAGCCAACTTCAGCAAAGTTCCCTGCTTTGATCTCGTGCCAAATGCACCAACAGAGCCAAGGTTGGGCAGTGCACAAAGGCGTGGGCAAGCTCTGTGGATGCTGCAGTGACTTCAGCCATGCTAACACAGAGAACAGTGGTCCCCAGGCCAATGCTGCATGGCACAGGTACCAGCAGTAATGTACTTCCAAGATGAAAGACCTCATCCTGTTAGAAAAAAACCCTTCACCCTATGCCTAGGCAACGGGCAAGCTTACGAGAGACAAATCACAGCACCAAGGATGAGTGCGTGCCATGCGCCAGCCTGCGCATACCGGGGGCATTCTGGCCCCTGCTTAGCTGCAAGCTCTGCTTCAAGCAGCCAAAGGCAGAACCAATGCCACAGCAGCAATCTCATCCTTTTTGAGTTCAGCAGCTGGTTCTGGAGCACGTGGCTGAGAAAGCTGGCTGGGACAAAGACACATACTTGAGACACACTGTACTGGGAGGATGGTACTTTGTCAGCAGGCCCTCTTCCGCATGTGCTGGACTTCTTCTTCCCTTAGCTGGTGAGCCAACAGGCACGCGCATTTACTGGCTGGCTTTGCAGCTCCACTGTCACTACAGGAAAAGGCAGGAAAGTGACAGTGGGGGACAATGGGCAGAGAAGTAAAGCTGAAAGATGTGTGGCAGCATACCGTGTTTCACCTCTGAATGATGCCAGATACCTGCTTCCAAGCCATGGGCCTAAAGACCTACTCCCAGGAAACACCTGCTTTTGTCTGAGATGCCAATCCACCTCCTCCTTTAAATGCTGCCACACCATAAAGCAAGGCATACCAATGGTTAACTTCACCCAAAGCATGAAAACGTGGAGCAAGTTCAGGTTACACTGAGAACTTCATTCGTGTTTAAATTCCAGAGCTTAATGTGTCCACAATATCCACTGTCTGCAAAGGATATAGACTGACCAAGAATTTTCATGATTGTACGTCAAGAAATACAGCGCTGAAATAAGCGGTGTCTGCTTTACGCTTAGGCATTGTTACGTAAGATTATTTTTGGGTGGCTACTTGAGAATGCATTTTCAAAGCTGGTTCAAAAAAATTGGTGCTTCCTTGATATTGCAAGTCAAGACATACGAGTATTAGTTATGGCTCTGATTTCCAGGAACAGAGAGTTGTAAAACCAGGAATCCATAGATTATATCTGTTCCTTTAAACATCTTGTGCTCTGCTTCACCTGCATAAGGCGTCCCTAAAGGCCTCTCCTCTTCACTGGAGAGCTTAACTTGGAGTTGTTTGTAAATAGAGATGGTTGGTTGTAAACACAGATGATCTTGTGGGTGGCCGTCTTGGCCATAGTGATCATGAAATAGTTGAGTTTAAAGACTTTGGTGATACAGGAAAAACTGTCGTCTGAGCCACCAGCCCAGATTTTGGGAGAGCAGACTATGCTGCTCAAGTAACTAGTTAGTAAGGTCCCCTGGGAATCCGCTTTTGAGGATATTAGGGTCCATAAATGCTGGTCGCTTTTTAAGGGCCTTCTTTCAAGAGCACAGGAGCAGGCAATTGCCATATGTCTGAAGTCAAGCAAGTGAGGCAGAAGGCTGACTTGGCTGAATAGGGATCTCCTTCCGCAACTTAGAATCATAGAATCATAGAATGTTTAGGGTTGGAAGGGACCACTAGTGGTCATCTAGTCCAACCCCCCTGCAGTGAGCAGGGACACTGCTAACTAGATCAGGTTGCTCAGAGCCCCATCCAACCTGGCCTTGAATGTTCCCAGGGATGGGGCCTCCACTACCTCTCTGGGCAACCTGTTCCAGTGTTTTACCACCCTCATTGTAAAAAATTTCTTCCTTACCTCTAGCCTGAACCTACCCTGTTCTAGTTTAAAACCATTTCCCCTTGTCCTAACACAGCTGGCCCTACTAAAAAGACGTTCCCCATCTTTCCTATAGGCCCCCTTTAGGTACTGGAAGGCCGCAATCAGGTCTCCCCGTAGCCTCCTTTTCTCCAGACTGAACAAGCCCAACTCTCTCAGCCTGTCCTCATAGGAGAGGTGCTCCAGCCCTCGGATCATTTTTGTAGCCCTCCTCTGGACCCGTTCCAACAGTTCCATGTCCTTCTTGTGCTGGAGTCCGGTTGGCCTGCTCGCCTGCCAGCGCACACTGCCGGCTCATGTCCAGCTTTTCATCCATCAGTACCCCCAAGTCCCTCTCAGCAGGGCTGCTCTCGATCCTTTCTTCCCCCAGCCTGTATTGATACTGGGGGTTACCCCGACCCAGGTGCAGGACCTTGCACTTGGCCTTGTTGAGCCTCATGAGGTTCACACAGGCCCACCTCTCTAGCCTGTCCAGGTCTCTTTGGATGACATCCCTTCCTTCTGGTGTGTCAACCGCACCACTCAGCTTGGTATCATCCGCAAACTTGCTGAGGGTGCACTCGATCTCGCTGTCTAAGTCATTGATGAAGATGTTAAAGAGCACCGGTCCCAGTACAGACCCCTGAGGGACACCACTCGTCACCGGTCTCCATCCGGACATCGAGCCATTTACCACCACCCTTTTTTTAGGTGGAAAAAGAAAGTGTATGGACTTTAGAAGCAAGAACAGGCTATGCGGGAGGACTACAGACATGCTACTCGCCACTACAGGGAGAAAATTCATATGGCCCAAGCTCAGTTGGAGTTGAAACTGGCTGGTACAGTTGCGGATAACAAAAAAGGCTTTTTAAAGTATGTTAACAGCAAAAGGAAGACTACAGAAAACATTGGTCTGTTACTTGATGAGGTTGGTCACCTCATCGCCAAACATGGATCAAGATAAAGCAGAGACGCTTAATGCTTTTGTCAGCTCTGTCTTTAACACTGATGATGGGCTCGGGGATGCCCAGAAACCTGGGTTGGACTGCAACTGGGGGAGTGATAAGCTCCCAGTTGACTCTGAACTTGTATGGGATTTGCTGCTGCAACTGAATGCACACAAGTCTATGGGGCCCAGTGGGATTCATCCCAGGGTACTGAAGAGTTGGCCAATGTTATTGCAAGACGTCTCACAGTCTTGGGAATCTGGAGAGTTCCCAGTTGACTGCAAGCTGGCAAATATTGTCCCCATTTTCAAGAAGGGCAAGAAAGATGATCCTGGTAATTACAGGCCTGTCAGTTTCACACTGGTGCCTGGTACAACTTCTGGAGAAGATTATTCTGGGAGTTATTGACAGAGATTTGAAAGACAACCTAGTCATCGGTCAAAGCCAGCATAGGTTCAAGAAAGGCAAGTCATGCCTTACTACCTTAGTAATCTTTCATGACAAGGTTACCTGTCTAGTGTACAGGGAAAGCAGTGGCTGTGTATTTTTTTTTTATTTTAGCAAAGCTTTTGATACTGTCTATCACAGTATCCTTCTGGACAATGTCCAGCACATGGCTAGACAGGCATACAATACAATCGGTGAACAATTGGCTAATGAGTCGGGCTCAAAGACTCGCAGTAAATGGGGTAACATCTAGCTGGTGGCCAGCCACTAGTGGTGTGCCTCAGGGCTCCATTTCAGGGCCAGTTCTCTTCAAAGCTTTTATCAATGACCTAGACACAGGAGCTGAGTGCATACTCAGCTTGCCAACAATAACAAATTAGGAAAAGCTGTTGATTCCCTCGAATGGAGAGGCCTTACAGAGAGATCCTGATAGATTAGCATGCTGGGTAATCACCAACCACACAAAATTTAACAGTAACAAATGCCAGATCCTGCACCTGGAGTTGTGTAATCCTGGATGCACATATAGACCAAGAGTGCAGCCCTGCAGAAAGGGATCTGGGTATCTATAGGCAGCTAAACCAGCCCTGGTCACCTGTGCAGCTATATGAGCACCCACACCTGATTATTCTCTCCCCACCCTGTGATTTCTCAGCAAGCAGGAGGGTATTTCCCTTGCGCCCTTCCCCACAACCTCCTGATTCTGCCTTCAACCAAACAGAAGCTCTGTTCCACCTCCCCCTATGCAAAATAACCTCTTTTTCTGACACTAAGCACACTTAAGACACAGTATAAATTTCAGGGGTTTTAATTTTTACAAATGTTTGAAAGAATCACTGAGCAGACAGTGACACAAACAGATATTCCAGCAGTGACAGGCACCCAATGAATGACATTTTCCTGAATTCAGTCCTAGGTTCTCTTGGAACCAAGAGTGAAAGAGAAACAAAATTTACTAGAAAAAAAACCTAGTGCTGATGTCAGCAGAACTTCCTTGCTTGGCCAAAAAAAATTCTGATTTTACCCACAGAAATCTAAAAATTAATGAGGATTAGAGGTGAATTACTACATCCACAGGGGCTAATGCCTGTAAGCACCCTTGCCCCCTCCCCAAATTTAACAGGTGGGGTGAGAAAGGGATTACAGCTGCCTAGTAGCAGAGCCCAATCCCCTAACTGGATCACCACAGATGGAGCATGGGAACCAAATTTGGCTACTGGATTAACAACTTCAAACTGAGGGCAATGCTAGTGGAGGGAGTTCAAAGATCCTCACTCATATCTTCTGCTGGTCAGCGCCGGTGGTTCCAGGAGGCTTCAGTTTCTTTCATTTCTTCCCCTGTTTGAGTAGGAGACTGTCACTGAAAGGGAGACAGAAGCATGTCATTAGTCCAGAAAGAACAAGCAAAGCTGAACTACAGGCCTGGGGGTGTGGGGTGTCACACCCAAAGGATATAGACTTCCAAGTCCTTCCTACTAGGTATTTTTTTCAAAGTCCTTCTGGGATGAATAAGACAGAATCTGGTCAGAGGTAAGGAAGAAGGATCTTACAATCAGAGATCCCACAGAGAAGAGACCAGCTCTGGCTTCCTTTCCTGAGTCTACGAAATCTAAGCCTTTACTTGCATGCTATTAGCTCAGCTGGCACTGCCTTGTCCAGTAAACACCAGACAGATTAGGCAAAGCCACCAAACTCCTGCTAGCTCTGAAAGCAGGGAATGGGGTTTTCTAGCATGGGCTGGAAAGCTTTTGGAGAGTTACAAGAGCATCCTTCCTAGAGATAATAACCCCAAACCAACACAAATTCCTATGATTCTTACAGCCCTCTTTGCTGTAAATGCAGGATGCCCTGTATAAGCAGGACAGATCAGAGGACACTCCTCAGTTACTCCTGCCTTCCCCATGCAAGATTCCTTATAGGACACATACAGAGCTCCAATTACTGAGTATCTCCTGCTTGATGAGTGTGTGGCTCCTGCAAGGAAGGCTTCAAGCTTCCCATCACAAATGGGAACTGAAGTAGAGATGGAATAAACTTCCTGTGGCCAGAAAGGCCAGGCACCAGGCAAACATCAACACCCTTGTTCCAAGTACTAACAAAAGGATCAAAACAAGAAGTGCCTTACCTTCCTCTGTGTGTCAGGAGATTGAGTAAGGGGGTGGAGAGGAAGAAAAAGAAGAGTAAATTGATTAGATTTTACAAAAATCTCAATTTCCACAGTAAACAAGACTTGGCTGTGTCCTCTGGTATCAAGCTCCTCTCAGAGAAAAGATACCGAGAGAGCTCCAGAAAGGGGCCCAGCTTCATAGGTAGGGTGCAGATAAATCCAGCCATTTGGCCCCTTTACCTGGTAAAGCCCTCATCCTGCAGGTTCAGTACCAAGTTATCTGCTGCAAGATACACACGATTTTGCGAGCCAGCAATCTGAAAAAGAAATCCATTACAGACATGGCATAAAGTATAAATGCACGCGGGGAAATAGCACTAATAACGAATCTATCCCCCTTCCAGATACAGCACTCTTGTTTTACTCAATTAAGATCTTGGTTAAATCAATGCAATTCCCCAAAACAACTCTGTAACTTCCTGACTTCCTGTCCCAGCGCCATCAGACTTTCTAAAAGCAGTGCTCATTCCATCTCCCTGTCAGACAGACCTTTGATCCCATGCTTATCTGTTCCCTTTTCTCAGCCTGCAGGAAACCAGGAACTTTTGGTGGCTGCAGCTGAGTGTGGGTGATAGAATCTGATGTGGATCTGGCCTCATCATATGGAAGGCATGAACTCCTAGCCTCACATCTAATTGCCGATCACTGCAAGCTAAAACTTAAGCTCTACCTGAGCAGAGAAGGGCTAGGCAGGAACAAAGATCAGGACAGGGCAGGTCACATTCGCCTTATATTCATCATGTGGCCACTGGGCTGGGAGGACAGCACAAGGACTAGAGAAGGACATTCTGTGCCTCATTGCTCACCGTTTTTGAAATGTTTTGAGCAGCTCGGATCTTACGTAGCTTGATGTAGCCTGGATTCCTGCTAAGAGCTTCACCGAGGTACAGGGGAGCAAAAGTTAAGGAAAAACCTGCTAATAGAAGCTGCCTACTGTCAAGGGCTTCTTCCTAAACCATATCACCAAACATCTCGTTAATCTCTATCCCAATAACTTGGGCCTTTGGGCAGGCATATTTTTACTTCCCCGAATCAACAACATTACAGATCATGGTCACGCACAGCCAATAAACATTAAACCTTACAACAGGGAGTGAAGGCTCACGGCCTTCTCTTTTCTGACCTCACTCCAGCCAGCTGTAGGGGAAAAAAAAGAAAAGTCAGTGACCTACTTGAAGCTATCATCTGATAACAGTCTCCTAAGTGTGAGCCCAACGTGACAGATTGTTAGGACTGCCAAGCTCACAAACTATGTCCCACAAAATCTCCCAAAGCAGGATATCATCTTGGCAGCTGTAGCTTCCCCTTCAGCCTGAACAATCTTCTGCTTCTGCTCCTGCTTGGCCTTCTCCACCAGAAACTGTGCGCGCTGTGCCTCCTGCTGGGCTGCAGAGAGAATGGCCAAAAGCATTCAAAGCAGATCCCACTTTCTGAGCCCTCCACCAGAACCCTACAGCTGAGGCCTGGGGACTCCACTTCTGAAAGAACCGATAGCATTCTGGGGCCATATCCACTATTTGGGGAAGGTATCTAAGTGTACTTTACTTCTTCTTAAATAAAAATCAACAGCATCTCTAAACATGACCCCCATAGTAACTGATGGGAGTCCCAGTCTGAAGGGGAACCTTACAGTCTTGGGAACTCAGTCCCACAGACTGTCCCCATTAGCCATGACCCAAAGTTTTCTGATAATACTTGTGAAATAATCTGTTTAGCTCCATAACTAAGGAGGCTGAGATTTATAACTCTGTAGCTGTATCAATGCAAAACCAACAGCACGCTAGCCCAAATTCTGCTTCCTTGTTTAATAATTCAACGAAAAGGCAAAGGCAATCCACCTTTTCCAGGCTTAAACTGAACTCACCCACTTGCTTAGCCTCCACAGCTGCTGTGTATTCACGACTGAAACTCAGCTCTGTGATAGCCACATCATCCAGGATGAGGCTGAAATCCTTGGCTCGCTCTGTCAGTTCTCGCCTAATGAGCAGAGACACCTGAAACACAAATATAGCAAAAAGAGTACCAAACACCGGCTGTTTCTCACTTCCTGTGCACTCCAAAAGCGAAACACAACTGCTTTTCATAGTTCATTCATGTCAGGCCCAAGAGAGACATTACCTCAACCAAATCCTGAACCACAGACATTCATACCATCCCTTAATCTGTTGCCTCTAAATAACGCTGCATATCCACAGCTACATGGTGCATTTTTGAAAGTATATTACATCTTACTTATAGTTATTACTTAACTATACTATACAATTAATAATGCAAAAAAACCCCCCAAAACTTCTTGAAAGTTTTTTTGTTTTCACATCCTACCACATCTAGTTCCACAGTTCCCACACATGTTTTGGCAATAAGCGTTTCCTTCTCCTTTCTGATTTTGCCATTGTTTGCAGTTTGACCGTCTCCTCATATTTGTATTCAGATAAAGAAAATAAAAATTACTATTCGCACTGCTACACACGTATCACATCTCTTAATTACTGTAGCTGCTCGTCTAGTATGGCTACTCCACTTTTTTTAGTCTCTTTGGATGAGTGTTGTTAGTAGAATAAACCAAAAGTTTTACTAATTTCTGAGTTACCTTCAACTTGCCAGTGTCTTTTTCATGCAGGCTGACAAGTCCTGCACCAAATTTTGACTTACATAGAAATTACTGCTACAGTACCACATCCTTGACCAGTCTAGCATTTACTTTTACTTCTATCGCAGGTGTTTCCGAGCAGAATTCTAAAATGAAGCCAGACTCCTTCACTGAGTGAACTGCAAGCACGTAACTACATAAACTCACTTCATTTTCTTCTGATTATCAACTACTTCAATATGCATCGCTTCACAGTAATGAACACTACATGGATATATGACACGGCAAATTCAAGTCAGTTGTTCAGAAATTTCAGATATACCTAAGTCTTCTTTGCTTCTGATGAACTTAAATCCCTTGCAGACACTGTTTCCTTGCTGTCACATCCTCCCTTTTCACTCATTCTCTTTAGACAAGATCGTTAACAAATCCCTTTAGTGCACAGCATGTGGCCCAGCACAAAACCCTGAAGTCCCTGCTACGGATCAGTTCTCACGACAAGACCTGGACGCTTAGTTCTACTCTTTGCTTTTTTATCACGGATCAGCAACTAGTTAAGAGATGCTTTGTATTTCATCTTTCTGACAACTTATCCTCTTTAGCAGTCTCACGCAGGATCTCCTCTAAAGCCTTTTAAAAGAAGATCAGCAACTTCTCTCTCCCTCAGCGGTGATAGGTGACAGATATTCCCAGAATCCCTGGCAATCAAATTATCAGAACACAAACTTTCAGGTAGAGGCTTTTATAAGCTAAATATTTCTACTATTTTGCACCCTGCCCAGATTACTCTCTAATCTTTTTCTAAACAGAAATATTTGCTACCCTTCTGCAGCACCCATTACTGAAAGTTTACTGCTTTGTTAACTGCTCATCCACTTTGCTTTTCAGATCCTTTAAGTCTGTTCAATTTGCTCTGACAGTTCTGAGACCCATGAAGTGCCAGCTAATCAGTTTTTTTAAAGCCACTTCTACTGTTACTTATGGACTATGATGTAAATCAGCTCTCCCTCCCCCACTACTACATTATGGCGCGGTTTTGCACTCTATATACCAATGAATCAAATTTTCTTCTCAGAAGCTAGTGGTACAGCTCTAGTGCTTCTCTCTATCAGAATCAAACTGTAAGCGGGATACAGTTCCATGCCCTTTCCGTTTGGATGCACCATCTACCAGCCTAACAAATCTATCCTTCATCTATTATAACGCTCCCCATATCCACAGTTCAGTGGTTTCTTTGCAATCTATGTGTAAGTCTCCTCCAGAAAAGTTCACCTGGGCTCTTTGAGTGATGAGCTGTGAAGCGTTAAACTTGGCGACCACACTCTTGAGCACTTCATTAACGATGGAAGGCAGGACTCGCTCCTCATAGTCCAGGCCCAGGCGCTGGTACATGCTGGGCAGCTCTGCAGCATTGGGGCGCGTGAGAACACGCAGCGAAATGTTCACCATCTGCAGATCTGAGGAGGAGAAAGAGATGAGAGCAGGGCCCGCGCCGCCGCCGGGCTCCTGCCCCCTCCCACCCCACAGCCGCCGCCTGGGCCTGGCGCTCCGGCCTGCGGGGCCGCTCTCACCTTTGGAGCCGGTGGGGGAGGAGATTTTCCGTGGCCGGGCTCGAATGTCGTAGATGATGGGGTACTGGAACCAGGGGATCCTGCAAGGGGCAGGAGGCCCGTTACGCGGGGCGATCGGGGCCGCGCGGGCACCCGCGGCAGCCGGGCGGGGGAAC